CCCCCGCCGGTGGCCACCGCGATTTTGAGGGTACGTGCGGGCTTTCGCTGTTGGAGGCTAGGGGCTCAGTGATAGCCGCGTCGTCATCGCGTAAACGTTAACGCGCATTCTCCTGGCGATTTCTCCTCCCCTCGCCCAACCCGTGCTTTTTCTAACTAGGTCAAGCCCGCTTTCTGCACGGCTCGCTATTCGCAGTGGCACCACAGCCGGCCGTGCAGGAACGACCTATCGCTCCCTCGTTTTTTTTCATTCACTTTTCGTTTTAACGTCGGGCAGTGACACTCGGCCGGGGGATAAACTATTTATTTATATGGTTGAATCGCGGGTTTTCGTGTCGATGTTGTTTCGCACGGGGTTGAGTGACACCACTGGGTGAATGGATTTATCACGCATTATGGTATTTTGAGGTTTCATTACTGCTGCATGGTTGTTGGGTTGGGGCATTTTGGATTGCGCAACGGGTGCATGCAGAATTCGGTAGGAATGATTGCGCTTTCTCGGGGGAGACGGTGGCGCAGTTGCGTCGATTACGGGGTCGAGGTCATCCTGGGAATCCTTTTTGAGGATTGCTTGGGGAAGTATGCACGGTAGATGGATAGGCGGAATTATTTGGCGGGGACAGGGGTGATCTGTGATTTTGGGCGAGGATTTTCGCGGGGATTTCGAGGGAGAGTTGTCTCCCGTGTAGTTTAAGTAATTTTTTTTTTGTTTAATTGGGATTCGGTGGGAGGGACGATTTGGGCTGGGGAAAAATTGTGTTCTACTGAAGAGATCTTTTGGAGTGTTGTATTAATTTACTTGTGGACAAAAGAGAAAGACTCTACCGAAACATGATAATTTTTGTTGTAGTAATTGGTCTCGTGAGACGTTTATGTCTTTCGGGTAAATACATTCGTTCTGTTACAGTTGGAATTCTTCTAGAGATATTTCTGATGATCATTTTTATGAGAAATTTAATTTTTGTGAGAGATATTAAATTTCCTTCTGTCGCGTTGGTTAATTTCCCTCAAGTAAATCTGTTCCACTCCATCAAATATTCTCACGTGGAAAATATTGTTTTTCAGCAGAGCTAATTTGTTCTCTCAGTGTTTGATTTCACTCGACCAATCTCGAGTTATTGATGAGGATAAATATTCCATTTTGCCGCGCTCTCTTCTAATAATTCACGATAAACAATCCATTTGTGAACATCACATTAGAAAACAAAAATTACATGATTTCAGAGATGATTTCGGAGAGTTGAAATCACTTGATGGAAGTTTCCACCAAAACAGGATAATTTTCGTAGTAGTAACTGTTCTCGTGAGACATTTATAGGTCTTTCGAGTAAATACATTCCTTCTGCAGAGAATTATATGAGGCTCCGGTTTTATCAAGTGAATGTTATTGAGTAGTGTATATCTTTGTCCAATAAACACTTATAATTTCCATGGAACAAATGATAATTTTAAGAGGAAACTACAATTTTCTTGCCAAAAACTGTGTTATTGACAGAACTAAATAATTTCGAGGGGACAATTTTTTTTGGGAAAAAAATATTCTTTCCTCGTCAATGTATTCTTTCTGTGGGATAAACCTGTAGAGTTCTCTCAGATCAAATGATTGTCGTACAATAGATTATATTTTTTCCTGTCAACAGCTCGAATTCTTCTAGGGATATTTCTGACGATCACGACAAAAATTGAATTTTTGTGAGAGATATTAAATTTCCTTTTGTCGAGTTGGTTAATTTCCCTCAAGACAATCTGTTCCACTCCATCAAATATTCTGTTGTAAACTCCGCAATCCATTCATTTCCATCTGCATAAAATCAAAGAGCGATAAAGGTTACAGTCATGTCTATTGCGAATTCTTCTGCATGAATTGAATACGCATGAATATTGTGCGAAACAAAAAAAATTAGTGCAACTAATATTTTTTTTATTGCAAATTGTCAAGTCGATACCCCTGGGAATTTTTTAAAAGTCGAATTGAAGCCGAGCGTCTGGGGAGTTTACACTTTTCAGTTTGTTTTACTCTGATCTTTTTGAAGCTCGATCATCTCCCGTGGACCCGCCTCCGAAAGTTGAATTTAGAAAGGAGAGAGGATGGAAATGAAAAGCCCTCGCGGGACTGGTTTTGTTTCAGACTGTTTTTCGGTGGTAGGTCGAGGTCACCCTCCGGTTTTCAACCTTGTCCCCTCTGAGTACTATCACCCTCTCGACTTTTCTCTCCTCGCAAATATTTTCTTTTTCTCTCGACTTCAAGGGTTTACATAACTTCAACCTTTGACCATGGAGTTTTCTTTGCGAAGGAGGTTGTGCTTTCATTATTAGAATCTCTTGTGGCTTTGATGCGGACCTTCCCAGCTCGGAATCGCCAGAAGTCGCGAAGAATTGGAGTTCTGGTCGAGATTTAGAGGATTCCTTCAGCGACTGCGGATCCTCACGCAGGGAACTGAGACTAAATGATACACTTGGAATGTTTCCTCAGAGCGAAGATTCTTTTGTGTTGCTTTGTAGACAGCATTCCGATCGGAGGGATGAGGATTGAGCGCTTCGAAGGCACTTTCGGGGGAAGAACGAGGGGTGAGAAGGATAACGACCACCTTAGAACGTGCAGCCCTCTTTCACCATTGTCATCTGACCTTTGTTGTACTTCAATGAAATTACAATTTAATTAGGAGAAACTGGAGAAGCGAGATGCTGTCAGAGTTTCGTTTACACCCAAAAAAAAATTACTTTTGATCAGTAGAAAAAGTACTTGTACCCAGTACCAAGGGGTTTCTGGGGAAAAGCCACATTTTTGTACTTCCTCGAAGTTACAAAACAACTTGATGCAAGTATCATGCGTCAAGTACCTGTGAACTGGTGAGAAGTACCTCAGTACTTGTCACAAGTATTTTGTCACTTGGATCAAGTAACAAAATTACTTGTACTTAGTACCTGGCTGGTTCTTTTCAAAAGTACCAAATAAACTCAATATAAGTTGAGTATAAGAACTCAAAAATGTTTTTCTACCTCTTCTAAAAACCGAATTTCGTCAAAAATTCAAAAATCCAAATAATTCCCGTTTTGCGAGTAATAAAATTGAAAAGAAATTGAAAATAATGTTTCGGAGCCTTTTAAATGTTGATAACAACATAAAATAAAAATCTCAACGAATTGAAATTTTGTAGGTTGGAAAGCATACCAATAATTCTCAAAAGCATCCATAAAAATCGCAATTCATTGATTTTTTCCTACAAAATATCATCTGCTGAACATTTCTATTTACAAAAATGCGTAATAAAGCCCATTATATCCGGTAATAATATTCACTTTTTTCAATAAAGTAATCAATTGGAAGTACTGAAATTAAGTCCTAAAAGTACTTGAGAGAAGTTGAAAAATGACTTTTCACTAGTACCTTTGGTACTTGTGAAAAGTACCAAAAGTACTCGCAGTAAGTAGTGATACTACTTCCTCCCAGTACCATTTCTACTCGATCGGCAGATGTGGTACTTCACCCAAGGACACAAAATGTACTTGGGACGAGTATTTTTAGAACTTTTCAAAAGTGAACTTCCCCCAAGTACCGGTTTGTACTGGTGAGAAGTATTTTTTTTTGTGTACTTGATTTGAGTATATTATTTTTCGACGAATGTAACCTTTCCATTTCCTACAATTTTTTTTTTTAATTTTTTTATCGCTATTTTAACTTGGCTTCGACCCGGTTAAGATATCCTGCGATGATGATCAAGACTTTAAATGGTTAGATCGCACCATTCTACCCGGCCGAGATTTGAACTCGGAACTTTTTGCTGCGCCAAGCCACCGGGCTATTTCCTACAAGTCTGATTTCACCTGCGCCGTTGAAAAGCCATCCCCTCTCTCGTGAATAAAATCCTCCACTCAAGAAGTCTGCTTGCAGGCAATATCTCTCCCAAACGACGTGCACTTTATCTCAGAGAGAGAGCAGATCTAGCATCCGGAAAACCATAAACCCTGATACATCTTATATTATTAAACCTTTTCCCGAGGATAAAGATAAAGAGTGCATTTGACGTACAAATATTGTCAGACGAGGCGTTTTTTACCTCACAGACATGCACCCCAGTGATACCCATTCACGAAGACGAAGGGAAGTCACGTACATAAACTGCTTGAGTCGTGTTAAGACAGGAGGATGAATTCCGCTGTACAAACGTTGAAGATGAAAATCTACAATCCTATTATGTGAGATTGTGTGGAGAATGAAAATACGATGTGCCTAGGCGAAAGCCGAAAGGTAATGTGACAGCGGTGAGAGAGGGCGGCACGTTCTAAGGTGGTCGTTATCCTTCTCACCCCTCGTTCTTCCCCCGAAAGTGGCTTCGAAGCGCTCAATCCTCATGCCTCCGATCGGAATGCTGTCTCCAAAGCAACACAAAAGGATCTTCGCTCTGAGGAAACATTCCAAGTGTATCATTTAGTCTCAGTTCCCTGCGTGAGGATCCGCAGTCGCTGAAGGAATCCTCCAAGTCTCGACCAGAAGTCCAATTCTTCGCGACTTCTGGTGATTCCGAGCTGGGAAGGTCCGCATCAAAGACACGAGAGGTTCTAATAATGAAAGCACAACCTCCTTCGCAAAAAAAACTCCATGGTCAAGGGTTGAAGTTATGTAAGCCCTTGAAGTACGAGAGAAAAAGAAAATATTTGCGAGGAGAGAAAAGCCGAGAGGGTGATAGTACTCAGAGGGGACAGGGTTGAAAACTAGAGGGCGACCTCGACCTACCATCGATAAACAGTCTGAAATAAAACCAGTTCCGCGAGGGCTTTTCATTTTCAGGCATCGACCAAAATTGATCAAAATCAGTTTTCACTGGTCAGTCTCTTATTCTATCCTAATTTGAATTTCCACTCGGGTATCCAAAAAATTTATCGTGTAGTCTCGACGGCATCACTAGTATCGACTTGACAATTTGCAATATAAAAATATTGTTGCTGTTTCCAAAGCAAAATAATAGGATCTTTGCTCTGAGGAAACATTCCATATTAAATTTTCGTGTTCGCGGATTGAATAAGGGAAAGTCGTTAGCCCGCGGATCAGAAAGCTGCAGCCCATCATCTGCGGAAACAATGACTCCGCTCGCGGAGGAGCAGGAGAAAATGTAACTCATTCGAGGATCAACGGATACGCCCGAGAATTTCGTACCTCGTTGAATTTCAACGAGAAAAACAAAGGATGATATAAATGTACCTGGGGAGTCAAGACTTTATGCACTGCGGGTCTTGCGCGGTCTCTCTCCTTCAACCTAGGTTTCTCCTGGGACGCCAATTTACGATGTGGCTTACGATGCGTCCAGAGATCGGTGAGATGACCGCGGAAGCAATCGTAAATATCGTCGAAAGTCACTGGAGACTACTGCTCCTGTTTTGCGATAAAGGACATTTTTATTCTGATGATGGAAGGAAAGGGTGTGGATTTTGCCTGTGTAATTTCATAGAGAAAAATCATAAATTGAACTTTCTACTACTTTTTGCCAATTCTATTGAAAATATTCCATAGAAAAAACCTAGTTTTCGAGGAATATCTCCGAATCTAAGGGAGATATCAAAATTTTCGTAATAACCTTTTTTGTAGCTCTCAATTCGTTATATAAAAAAGGTTATAACAAAAAATTTGCTATCTCCCTTAGATTTCGAGATATTCATTGAAAATTCGCCAACGTTTTGTACAGAAATTTCTCGGCTCAGAATTTTTCATTTTTTTATTTAATGTTTTTGATAAAAAAAAGAGGGAAGAATTGGAGAATTAAAAACAAATAAAGGATTTATTTTCCTCATGAAACCATTTACTAACATTAAAGAAACTATTTAATCCGTGTGAATGTTTCCGCGTCAACAACAAATCAATAATCTCCTGAATATTAAAATCAACATGATTGCGATTCTGTTCACACATCGTCGTGGAGAATTTTCAAGCCGTGCTCATCTCCCCGCCCACCCTCATAGATTTCCATGAATATTAACGCAAATCGTCCATCCACTTTCAGAAGATTAAGCTCAAAGTAACGGTTGGGATGGCTAAAGTTGGCCGGAGCCATAAAAATCAAGGAGGAGAATTTTTAAGTAATCAACGGGTCTTATTCTCTCAAGTGGTGAAAAATTATGAATGTGCATCCACTAGACCTGTTCAAAACCAAGTTGTTAAAAGTGTCGGCACCGCTTACGGCACACCCGGCAGTGATTCTGAGTGAGCGGTTAAAGTCGAGGCTTACTGATGCTTCATGCATTCACGATATGCAAGGCGTAAATTTATGGAAAAATATACGGCCAAGGGAATAGTCTAGATTTTTTAAGGCCGAAAAACGATTCGGTGTGACGCATTTCGAAGGAATAGAACTCCATTTTAGTAGATGTATAGAAAAAATTAGAAGGAATCTTGACAATTTGTTAAGGAAATTTTACTGGATTTCTGTTGAACTTCACTTGAAGATTCTATTGGTTTTTCTATTTTAGAAATTTTATAAAAATTCTTCGACATAAATTTTGAGTTTTTTTTTGTTTAGCTAAAAAAAATTAACGGAATTTGTAATGGAGAAAATTGGATAAAAAGATCAAATTCTATTAATGTTTTGCAAAAATAGTTTCAATCGGATTAAAACTTAATTCACTAGGCGCAAGAAAAAAATTATAAGACAATTTAGCCAATTGGTTAGAAAATTTTATTAGATTTCTATTCAACTTCACTTGAAAATTCTATTGGTTTTTCAAATATTATAGAATTTTCTTGAAGATTTCCCGACATAAATTTTCATTTTTTTTTTGCTTAATGAAAAAAAATAAACAAATTGAAGAAATTTATAGGGAAATCTAGTCAATTTCTTAAGAAATTTGTCGGATTTCTATTGAACTTTTGTTCGAAATTCAATCGGTTCTTCAAATATTTTAAAATATTTGAAAACTAAAATTAAAAAAAAATAAAGCAATTGAAGGAATTTATAATGGAAAAAAATTGTACAAAAAATCATATTCTATTAATATTTTATAAAAAATAGTGTTAATTGGACATTTTCTAAAGAAAATGCGAAGTTCCAAAATTTTCACTAGAAATTCAATAGAAAATATTTCAATAAAATATTTCAGAAAAAATTTCGATAAAAAATCGAAAGATGTAATTTTTTCTGCAGAATATTTTCCACTGAAAATTTCCATTGAAAAATAAAAAACAAAGTTCAATAGAAATCCAATAGAATTGTCGTCCGTGAAACTAACGCATCATCTTCCCCCCTTTATTTTCCAGAAAGTGCTGAGACCCAGCATTGCGTCGTTTGATGAGCCATCATTCAACTTTTTTTTTTTCACCGATAACTGAAAGTACGCCTGTTACCCACGACCAATTACCCCCACAGCCAACACTGTCAACTTTGGGCCGAAGGAAGTCTCCAGAGAGTTGCGTCCTCTCGTTGAGGAGATTATAATTGCACGGAATGAAGGGTGAGTTACAGAAGTTTTAATTAAAAATACATATATTAGCCTCAGTAAGATTGCACGTTATTTATTCCTGAAAAATTTATCGCGAACGTATTTATCTCGACAAAACTTTAATCTAGAAATAAAATCCAAGAATAATAACTTTCACTCGGAGGGCAATAATTCCTGATTAACGATGCATTTCAAGACTTGAAAAAACAATTGCTTTTTTTTTATAAATGAGTACAGAATGGGTTTTCTTTTTTAAATTCTTATCTCGCTATTCTCTTCTTCTATTTTTTGTCATAGTAGTATCATCAATTGAAATGTCATCAAAATTTTGCGTATTATTTCGTTCTGTCAAATAACTTCTTCATTCGGACCCTCTCAAGACTCGAAGAAAAAAGACCGCATACACATAACCTTATTATAACAAATGAAACCCCACATTAACGTGAACAAAAATCCCACATTAATCCAAAATGAAGACCAACATGAAAATAAATCTGTCCTCGACCCTCCGCCACCATTCAATTTCTGCCTGATGTCTTCATTCGGCTCGAAAAAGCATTTATTTCCAAAAAAAAAACTGTTCACTCGCCTCGGGCCAAAAGCTTTTTACTCCGATCTATTGGAAATCCCATTCATCCGATTCAAATAAAGTTTATTTAATCCAAATAAACCTTTTCCCCCGGGTGCATGTGAGAATCCCATAACGCATTACGATAGGGCGTACGGAGGGGCGAGGGCCTTCCCCCATTCAGAAAATTTGGGATCGACTGGGGAAGCGATAACGCGATTACCCGCGGAAAGAAAGGAATGCGGGGAAACAATGAAAAATAACGAATGGCCGAAAGAGTTCATCAAAATGGGTTAAATTACCCCGGGATATTAACAGCAAACCGTCCGAGTGCACGCCACTGCCAGAGAGAGGGAGAGAGTGAGTGAGTGAGAGAGAGAGAGAGAGAGAGAGAGAGAGAGAGAGAGAGAGAGAGAG